CATTACTGTAGCACTGAACTCTACTAAGTACTTCCCTATGAAGGGTTAAAGGTGGGGAAGGAGATAGAAATTATTTCTTAGAAACCCAAAGAACAGAACAACATCATAATTGAGGCCAGAAGTTCCTACTCCTGGAGTGCCAAACAGATGGTGAAGTCTCACTTTTGAAAATGCTTGGCATTTCACTTCCTAGGACTAACTTGGCAGGTAAATGCCTTTCCCCATTTCATTAAAACAAGCAAACAAACCACAGATCAGCAAAGTACAAGGCCACAGAATGAGTGGCAGTTTAAGAAAAAAAAATAAACCACCAAAAAACCTCACCACCACAACCAACCAACAGAATTGGTACTCAAGGCCTGCTTATTTCCAGTTACTATGCACCTAGTAGTAACGCAACGCAATCAGAAGTGATAAGCACTACAGCCCTTAAATATTTCAGTAATTACTGGCACTGTCAGTACTTAGCTTTCTAGGGGAAGAATGGGAGGAAAAAAAGGATTTCTCCAAGTATTAAGTTCACTTAGAATGCATATGTAAGTTGGGAATTGAGGGAGTTTCATACACATATGCCATATTCTATGTGGCAGTAGCAGGACTGTAATCCATTTTCTGAGGGTGGCATTGAGATGGTGACACTCTGTTTTCACAGATGTTTGTTCATGCAAATTTAGTCTTCCTGTACCACAGAATCCTTGTGTTCTTGTTTTCTCATTCCCTACGTCATTAAGATGAATAATGGGGGCAATTTTAATTCTGACATCTTCTAAATTCAAATATTTGAAGCTGAGCTTAACTTTGTCATACTTCTTGCAGGTAGGTTTACTACACCCACCACGTGAAAAAACATTCTACCACCCTCCGCAGGGAAGAACAGGCTATCAATTGAATTTAACCACAGTCACTTCTTAACAACTAGAAAATGCATTCCCATCAACATTTTGAAATATTATTCTGAATGAGCTCAACAGTTAAGGCAGACTTCATGAGCAGTAAACTACCTTGTATATGAATTTACCAGTTTAATTTCTGGCAGCAATAATCAAGATGTTTAAAGTAAGTTTTGGAAGGCTGACTCAAATGATTGCAAACAGGAGAGTCACCTGTGCATTTTGGCACATACACAATAGCCTTCTTTCATGGGAAGTTAAGGTCTAGAACAGTGAAAGGAAAGCCACAAGAAGAATGGCATCACCCAAACTGTAACAGGAAGCACTACAGGTACCACTTGCCAGCACTATGCTCTTCCTCAGCCAGTGCTTTCAGTTGTTCTTTTGTGAGTGCTACATTCACTCAACTATAAAAAAAAACATACCTGAGTATTGAATGTTATTTTATTGACCCCTGGTTCCAGTATTAAGTTGTTGCATTTCAAGACATGAGCCCCATCTTCTAAAGTCACCCCTGAGGGCACATCCAGTGAACTGCTGCTCTCTTGCCTTCGTAGTAGCATGTGCACATTTTTGCAGATAATTCCTGCAGTTATCCGAGGGACTCCGTTCATACATTTCATATAGCTCCAGCGCTGGCAAGTTGTTTCTTGACAAAGGAAAGCCTGCAACTTCATTTGGAAAGCTGATAACACCATTGGAAGTTTTGTGCTTAGTCAGCCACTCGGCTGTTTTTCTGTAACTATTTTTTTCGATGCTGAAGTGAACATGGATAGCAATCTGATCCACTTGGACAGGGATGGGCATTTGGCTCACCAAAGTCAACTCAATAGACAACTTTCCACCCACATGGACAACAGCATTTGGAGGGTCAAAATGTAGAGTTTTCAACTGTGCAAAGGAGTGCATAGGCAATATAACCTTTTGACCTGGAAAGATAAAAATTTTTATTCTTCTCCACTGCTGCTGGAGATCAGCAAACCTTTTCTCTTAAAAATTTACCCCTTAGAATTAAATGTATGAACAACTTTTCATAATTAATCCTTTCACAACAAAACAATACTTTCATATTTTAGTTTTATCCTGCATAGAAATGAGGCTTAAAGATGCTGAGATTTGTTTTCTTACAGTTACATCTCTAAAATTTTAGTACTCAGGGTATTAAAGACAACTAAACTAAGAGTATAGTGTCTATGCAGAAGTTTAACATTTCACTACTACATAAAGTATTCTAGACAAGCACAAGAGCATAAAGTGACAAACTTCCCAGAGCACATAAATTAAGAGCAAGTGCAAGTTTAAGAAACTAATTCCAAAAATCAACACTGAGGCAGTACCAAAAGTAAATTAAGAAGCAAGTAAAAAATAACATATTATTATGGTATATCCATTCATAAAGAAAAACTTCTGCATAAAAATGAACAATCTTCAGATCTACAAGAAGTATTCCGTATGAATGTGAATCATGATTAATATCTGAGGACAAGGTATTACTGAAGCAGCAGAAAGGACAAAAAGAAGAGGCAGGACGGTCAAACTAATAAGTTGCAAGTGGATGGGAACAGATCTAACATCAAAACCGAAGAAGTATCATCACAAAGGTACCATCTGTGTGCCAGCAATGTAGAGGCAAAGATAAGTTTGGAATTGCAAAAACCCAACACAAGGTAAGTTATGACCTGTCAAAGCAGAGAAACAGGTAAGTGAAAGAAAACAAAGACTATCCGATATTCAGGATGAAAATATTAATTAACCTTTCATCTTTGACTATTTTTAATTATTGCAGAAGTTTTATAAATGCTCTGGAGATGACAAGAATCATGTTGATTCAGAAGTTATAAACAAGGTAATGAAACCCACCAGAAAATGCCTTCCAATCTACTTTTAGGGAAACATCAGATTAGAGCAGCTTAAGTTTTAAGAACCAGACTTACCTTGGTTCTCTGCTTGCTGATTGGCAAAATCTAGTATTTCTTGGCAAAAGCTTTTGCGTTCATCTCCTGTTAAGTGATTATCACCAGCTAAAAGGCTGCTTGTTTGAAGATAACTAGCAAAGTTAAGGAAACATGAGGTAGAAACCTACAACGTTCAGAAATCTGACTGAAAACGAGACACTTCAAGAACTGCTTTTCTAATCTTTTAATACAAGACCTGCTTTTATCATCACCACACTCTTCCATTAGAAAAGAAACAATGGAAGCTTTACTATCATCTGAGAATATTGCAGAATCTCTACTTTTTGCAGATCTACTAAAATATGATCCATTATTAACCTGTGCCATCTTCCCCATCTGAAAAGATTAGTGAGCACTGAAAATTCATTGACAATAGATAAACGCAGCATGCAAGTTAAAGACCCAGTGTCTTGCATTACGCTGCCCAATATTTAGAACTAAATAACTTGAGTATTTGATTATATTCCAATTTACTTGGCTGAGAATCTGCCAGCTGTTACAGCATCACTTACCATAAGTCATAAGACTTTTTTTTATACTTTTGAGTGCTGGGGGTACAAACACTCATTTAAGTATTTACCTAAGACTGCAATATTACTGGCTCAGATTGTTTAAGAGCATTTGCACTGAAGCAGAACAAATTTACGAGAGTTTAAAAGCAATGTAAGAATTTTCAAAGCAGGCAGAGATTTACAATGTCTAAGTCTAGTTCTAAAAAAAAAAAAAACCCCAAACCAACCAAACAAAAAAGAACAAAACCCAAGATACATTACAAATTTTAATTTAGCTCTAGTGACTTTCAGCTACAGTAAGATTCCTAGTACCATCACTTAGAGACTAAAATATGAGCTGCTTAGGCAAAGAAAAACACAAACAAAAAAGCCCCCCAATAACTTTAACAAAAGCTAGAAGAACCATTCCAAAAAAAAAAACAAAACCCAAAAAAAACCCCAACAGAAAAACCACCAAACCAAAACCCCCAACCCTGTCTTTCCCTGCAATTTCCACAAGAACTGCCTTGCAGTAAGTACTCTATTCAGCTGACCACTCTACTTTGGAACACGTAGAGGAATTCCACTTATAACTATGGCACCAATGAAAGCGGTACCCTTCGTCCAAAACACCAAAAAATAATGAAAATTTGCCATTTTGCTATAATAATTAATATCCTGCATACAGCACAACAGTTCCCATTAGAACCAAATTACTTAATCTAGGTACTAAATTTAGGCAACATATGAGGCCAAAATGAAAAGCAGAATTTAAATTGCACTGTTTCTAATGCCAAAGAGAATACAAAAAACATCCAAGGCCAGTCAGTAGACTTTTCCCCACGCACCGACCCCTCTTATCTTGAAAGTAGCAACAGTACAGCAACACAGACAGATTAAATATTTAAACAAATAAAGTTGTAGCAGATAGAATTGGTGTGTGAAAATAATGCAGAGAGTATGAAAGTGAAGAATTCAAAGCCTCTCAAACATTAGGATTGGGCCAAATCATTCTCTCAAAGTATTACTTTGCATTTATGTGGCGTTTCCAGAGAAGATTTCATTGACACGTTGAAGACACAGCTTTTACACAACTTGAAAGCAAACAGCTCCCACTCCCCTTCTGAAGCAGATCAAAGCCAGAAATAAAAAATAAATAATAGCAAAAATAAAAAATTAAAAAATTAAAACACCACACAGCACACCAAAGCCACAACATTTTCATCTTCCAAGCCTCTGTTTTAACTTTTGGAAAAAGGTACCATTACAAATACCAGAAGAGTCCTTGCCAGGTCAGATACAGGAAAAAGGTGGTAGCAGTTATAGAAAGCAAGCCCAGAAATTAAGCTCCTTAATATAGGAAGACACTATAATGCCGTATTTACCAAATGAAAAAACAGTCCCACATAAAAACTTCCATAGTGATAAAGTACAAACAGAATCACAAAAAACCTCTATGGTACTTGCTAAACTAATGACAAACTTCACACTAGCCATGTTGCTCCACTATCTAGAGCCTAGACGTATTTAAAAAGGAGAGCAGCAACTATATGGCAAAAGGTTTTAAGTGAACCAGATGTTAAAATATTTTAAAAATAAATAACCCAACCCTTCCCAAATGAACAGCAACAATGGAAACAATAAATAACTCAGCTGTCTGATGTTTGGCAGTCTCTACTGTTAAATAAACTGCTAGAGATATGTCAGAAAAATAATCAGAAGTATAATTTTCTTTGGTCTTGAATTTTCTGGCTCCGTCTTTTAGAGGATACTTTTCTATTTGCCCAAGGTGCTTCTGACATTCAGCTAACTGTTTTCTCGTATGTGTGACGAGCAATGCCCAGCCCTCAGCAAGGTAAGTTTTCAGTGCTCCTTGAAGATAGACTTCTGCTTTCTGTGGACCTTTCTTCCTCCTTTAAAAATAAAGAAATGAGTACAGAGTGAGATAAGAACCTCTGCAGCCATGAAAACTTGCTACACATTTTCAAAAAGTGGCAATGGGAGAGGGACACTGCATATGAATGCAGAAGAAGATGCAGTGAACCATTATGCTGTTTATTTTACTGGTAACAGATCAACACATTAGCCCACCTTTATGAGATTCACTCAAGCAAGCAGAACTACAATTGACAAGGAAAGACTTCATGTACAGATCCATCCCAAATCAGAGCAAGTGAGGCAGAGCTACCTCCCACAAATGCAACAAAAGCCATCTCGAGCTTCTGACACTCGACTAAAAATAGGCTTACTCAATTTTAAAGGAGGAAAATGCTTCAATGAAAATATCTTTTTATCACTACGCAGCAGTTCCACAGTAGCCTTTAACCCTAACATTATTCCCTCAGGTGAAAATTGAAGTTAATTTAGGAGAATCTGTTGCAGCCAGAAGATCAGACTGCTTTAGTGAACACAGGTGAAAAGCATGCCCAAATATGTTTCCTCCCTCCAACTCCAAAAAAATAATAAAAAAAAATCACCTAGGACTCCCAAATTCTTTTAAATAAGAAAAATAAAATGAAACAGAAAACCAATGCAGGAGGTTGCTTTAGTGGAGTGTAACAGCAGGGATAAACACAAAAAATATATTTGGAAATTAGGAATAAAATTCCTGGAGACCAGTGAGGAGTGCACCCTCAGCAAGTTTG